AGAACATTCTTCTTTTCTTCCCCTCTTTGCATGAACCAAATTGATATAGTGGTAGTACTGAGGTCTTCTTCTTCTTCTTTTTTTTTTTTTTTCCCAGATAAAAATAAGTCTATTTAGTACCCACTCTGTACCAGGTATTTGGAGGCACTTTCTCACACTTTCTCTTTCAATCCTCACAACAGCCCTGTGAGGTAGGGATTGCCCCCATTTTACAAATGAGTGAACTGAGGCTCAGATATTAAGATACCTGCCCAAGTGACTTGGGGAGTAAATGACTCAAAACTGGTGTTTATCCTACTACACAGTATTTAAAAGGCCTGTACCATAAAACAATAAAAAGAACTTAGGAAAGCCCTATATAAAGGAGGTATTTCATCATCTCCTATCTCCCAGTTGAAGTGTTGAGCAAGATCCACAGGGCAGCAGAGTCATTTATCCTGATAAATGGTCTTTCTGGGAAAGGCATTCTGTGAGGGCTTGGAAGTCTCTGAAGAGCCATATTTAAATGAGCTGAAAGTCCTAGGCAGGGTTAGACAGAAATCAGCCAAAGGCAGCAGTCTGGATTTCAAAGAAACCAAAAGGAGACCAGGATTCTTCCACAGCACACAGAAAATTATGGCCTTCTTTGGGGCAGTGGTCCTTGGTGAAAAACCTAAAATAATTCCACATGTAGAATGTGTACAGGGCTATTACAACACCCAATACATTTCTCCCATTGGAGGAAGAGAGTGGCAGAGGTAGAAGCAGCCTTGCCTCCTCCTAAGACCCCTTTCTGTGGGAGAACCAGCAGTGGACAGTGTGATGTCTGGGCTCTGCCGGCTCCCTCAGGGAATCTTTTATTAGTGGGAGGAGGTGAGCATCAGACCTTTGGCAAAGGAGAGGTCAAAGTGTGCCCAGCAACGTGCACAGGGAACAGGGCATGTGGGGCTGGGAGTAAACTGTGGTCTGGGGTTGGATAAAACAGAAAAAGAACTACTCTGAGCCTGGAGGAAGGGCCAATTGGTGTGGCTCAGGTGACATGGGGGATAATGTGAGGGTGCAGACAGAAAATCAGGTAGCAATGATTTAAAGGGAACTGAAGGGCAATAGTTCTGGGGCCTCTGGTTCCACATGGGAAAGTGGCTGAGAGAACCCAGTTGATAGAGGTAGTGTACAGATTCCTCCTTGCTGATTCTGCTTGGTGAGTTGGTAAAAGCAAGAGTGGAGCTCCCAAACTGTGTCCAACAGAGACCCACCTCTCAGAGTGTGCTGGAATACAGCAACTGCCTCCTCAAAGTGCTGCAGTCCCATCAGGGCCTTGTCCAGGGGGAAGAGGCTCTGGGCTCAGCCCAGATGAAGGGCAAGGGCCACCTGGGCACCCACCAGGGCTCACACCAGCCAACCTAGCCACTCATGGCAAAAGGTGTCATTGAGTTAGCTGGAACTCATTGCCACCTTATATAAAACAGAATGAAACACTGCCTGGTACTGCACCATCCTCACAATCTTTGCTATGCTTGAGTCCATAGTTGCAGCCACTGTTTCAGTCCATCTTGTTGAAGCTCTTCCCCTTTTTTGCAAATCCTCTACTTTACCAAGCATGAAATCCTTCTGTAGGGATTGACCCTTCTGATAACATGAACAAAGTAGGTGAGAAGTCTGGCCTTTATAGCTTTCAAGGAGCATTTCGGCTGCGCTTCCTCCAGGACAAATTTGTTCATTCTTCTGGCAATCCAAGGTATTTTAGTATTCTTCCCCAACACCACACTTCAAAGACATCAACTCTTCTGTCTTCTTTATTAATTGCCCAGCTTTCATACGTATATGAAGCGATTGAAAATACCATATATTAGGTTAGGGGCACCTTAGCCTTCAAAGTGACATCTTTGCTCTTTACCCTTAAGAAACTTTTGCAGCAGATTTGCCCAGTGCAATATGTCATCTGATTTCTTGACTGCTGCTTCCATGGGTGTTGATTGTGTATCTAAGTAAAATGAAATCCCTCACAGCTTCAATCTTTTCTCCATTTATCACAATGTTGCTTATTGGTTCAGTTGTGAGGATTTTGGTTTTCTTTGTGTTAAGGTGTAATCCATACGGAAGACTATAGTCTTTGAGCTTCATCACTAAGTGTCCTCTTCACTTTCAGAAAGCAAGGTTGTGTCATCTGCATATCCCAGGTTGTTAATAATTTCTTCTTCAAATCCTGAACCTACATTCTTCTTCATATAGTCCAGCTTCTCAGATTATTTGCTAAGCATACAGATTGAATAAGCATGGTAAAAGGATGCATACCTGATGTACACCCTTCCTGACTTTAAACCATGAAGTATACCCTTGTTCTGTTCAAATGATAGCCAACAGAAAGACTGGTTGGAGCGATTTTAAAATAACTGGTGATCCCAGGAATTGACCTTCAAGGCCTAGGGAAACATGACAACAGCTTCAGGGTAGAAAAAATTTTGGACAAATTTGGTGCCCAACTCAGCTCTTGACTCTGGTGTGAAGCAGCCACCAGCAGTCCTGGAGGTACCTCAGCTTTAGGACTGTGCCTGGCCTCTTTTCTCTTATAGATCTCCTTTCATTTTGTCCCATCTTCTTCTGGGAGCCTGGCTCCTGTCTTGGGGATCCTGGCTCAGTCCTTTGTTTCTTTGAGCATCAGCGGGCCAATCCCCTATCTTGGGTGAAGCTAGAGCAACAAAACTGATAGATTTAGTGAGTACTCTTCCTTACTACATTGTCCCAGAACTGGATTCCAGGGGCAGGAGTGGGGAAGTTCTCACCCCCACTGGGGGTAGCCTCAGATTTGGCTTCCCCACAGTACTTCTCCAAACACCCTTGCAGCTTTTGTTCCCTTTGATGCTTCTTTTTTTAGTCACTTCTCTGTTTTTTTACTTTACCAGTTTCTCCTCAGCTACAAGCTCTTTAGTGGTTAGCTTCCTCTTCAGTCACCAGGGACTCTGGGGACATGGCCGCATGAAGAATACTGTCTGAGACACTGGGGAAGGATGCAGTGGCAGAGCTGCTTTAAGGGCAGGGCCTAGACCTCTCAAGAGAGAACAGAAAGGACTCTTGGAGACCACAGTAGGTGCCTTGTCCTTCAACCACCTTGCTTCTGTCTCTCAGTTCAGCCATTTTCTCCTCATCACAAAAGTGGTTCAGGAGGTAAGATCTTCATCGTAGTTGTCAGGACTGAACTCCTTGAAGGGTTTGGGACAGAAGCGACCCACAGTGGGCAGCCAGGATGCAGAGGGCAATCTAGCTTGATCCATCCCACAGTCTTCAGAATTTGTGCCATCTCCTGTCAACAGTTGGGGAGGTCTTTTTGATGCTTTCTTATCACCAACTTAATTTTGATAAAATATTAATTGCTCAAGTGACTTATTAAGATGATGTCCATTAATTTATGTTTTCAGATAATGTCTCCTTTGTATTGACAGTACGAGTGAATAGGTAGGGTCTGCACTGTTCAACTTGATCACCACTTGCCACATGTGGTCATTTTAAGTTTAGATTAATTACAATTAAATAAAATTTAATATTCAGTTCTTCAGCTACACTGGCCAGATGACAGCCATACAGGACAGGACAGAAAGCATTTCCTTTCTGTAGACAGGTCTATGGAAAGCACTGACATGGCTAACTGTGCTCCTCTTTGCCCCTATGAGAAGACCAAATTTCCTTCTAATTTGGCTACAATTGTGTTTGTTTGGCAGTTCATGGGATGGTATTACTCCTCACACTCCTAAGCATTCCAAGGGTCATGAAAATGCAAGAAACACTTGACAAAGAAACAGAAGTGTCAGTGTACCTCATCTCTTGGTCACATACTATCTTTGCACAGCCTAGTTTATTCCTCTTAGCTTCTCCTAGGTATCTCTGTTTTTTCTTTCAATTGTTGTGAATCAATTTTAGGGCAGTGATAAGTGTTTGGAAAATCACGACAATCCATTGAACTGGCCTCAGGGTATGCTGGGCTAGTGAGGTCATTAATTTCTACAGATCAAGGCAGGTGTTAGTGTAAATATTCTGACTTCATGAGTACTTCATGCAATACATGGACATCCTGGGCAACTTTGAGCACATCTGTGCAGAGAGATTGTCCACAAGCTTAAGGATGTGACTTTTATAAGGTTTGAGCTTCTCCTTGACCCAGCTGTCCTCTGCCACTAGTCTGGCATTCCTGACATTAGTGAAACCCAAGTTAATGCTGTTTGGAAAGCCCCAAGGAGACCATCTTCCAATAGAAGCATATGACACAGAGGAGAAAGGCTCACAACATTCCTTAAGTTGGATGATTATGACAGAACTGGTGGCATAGTGCATAAAGCTTTGACTGTCAACCAGAAGTTTGGTGGTTCAAACCCACAAGCCACTCTGCATAAGGAAGACTGGGTAATCTACTTCCATAAAGATTTACTGCCTCGGAAACCCAAAGGAGGTTGCTATGAGTTGGAATCAACTCGACGGCATTGAGTTTGGCTCTTGGTTTTTAGGTATCAAGAACTGACTGGATCATATTCAAAGAGAGAGAAATATCAAAAATACTTGAAAGGCAGGGAAGGGCAGGAAAATGGTGTAAATGGTATGGATAACCCAGGGAGGAAGGGTGAAGAATGCTGTTACATTAAGGGGATTGCAACTAATGTCATGAAACAAAATATGCAGAAATTGTTGGATGGGAAAACAATTTGCTCCATAAATTTTCCCAAACTACAAAAGAAAGAAAGAAACAAGCAGGTACAAATGTGAGTGAGAATGTCCCAGACTTAGGACAGGCTATTATTTCCTAAAAGTTCATAATTCATTTTGAAGTCTTCAGCAACCCAGATGATTTACTCTGAGGCTAGAATTCTGTGGTGTCATCCCCATCAAGAAGGGCAGAGGTTATACTGTCTTTGGGCCTCTTAAAAGCCGTGGATAACTCCAGGGCAATTAATTCCCACATCTCTGCTAAGAAGAAACCTCGTTTAGGGGATGGTACCATTTTGGTGAGAGTAATCCCAAACTCTGTTTTCCAGGCTGCAGTGCATGACTGTCTGCCCTCCAGATACCACCATGCCAGAGGAATCTTGGGGACATAGCTCTGCAGACTGGGAGCAGAGTCACTTGCTTGGCAGTGATGGGCCTGGCTTATCTGGATCTGCTTCCACAGAGAAAGCTGACCTTCCTGATGGGGCTCCTGGCATATTCCACTTTTGGACGCTGAGGTAGGTGAGCTTGAACACAGCCCTGTAAGAGTGACACTGCACAAAGATCTCCTACCCTGGGACTGGGGCATGCTCTTTGGCCATTGGTTTTTCAAATGGTATCAATTCTTGTCAAGAGTGCTAAGGAGTCTCAGAAACTGGCATTTGTATTGGTAATTACGTATAAATCCCTTTATTAGCAAAAGGATGACTCTACTGTCTGGGGAGAGTCTGAGGGGGTGGTGAGGCCAGCTAGGAGGGCTTGCTGGACTGCAAGCCTGCCACACAGGAGCCAACCTTGCTCAATCCTTTGTATCTGCCCTCTGTTGAGAGAAAAATTTTTAAAAGTGGCATCCCCTCATCTCTCCTATGTCCTCACCACTGGTATCCCCTTGCTCCTTCTGTCTACTCAACACCTACAGTTGCTTTAGATCTTCATGATGCACCAATGTCTTCTGGTGGATGAGATTGCTAAGAAAATGTGTGAATTATGTGAGTTGGGTTGGTGTGTGTGTGGAGGGGGTCTGGTTCTATCAGTCACCAGCATGGCCACCTGATACTCTTAATGCCCTTCCTAGTCTTTGAGCCCAGCTCCCGAGGACATAACTTGCCCAAATATTCCACAACATGGGTCATAGCACCAAGTACATTTGAGATTTTACCTTTAGTGGTTGTTATACCTTCTGTGATTAATGGAATAATTGCCTTGAGATCACCACAGAGGTACAAGATTCTGTGCTATTCTTTCATATCTAGAAAGTACCATGCACTACCGATGGAGAAACATTTTATTTTGGGTTGTCAGCTCTGCTGTATATGTCAGAGTCACGTAGAAAGAGATTTGTGTTTAGAAATGCCTGGTGAATGCTTCATACTTTAAAAAGAAGTGTCATTTTGATTCCCATTTTAATAAGAATTCTTGAATCAAAATTTGGAAGTGTGAAATGATTATTCATCAATTTCATTAAATCTAGGAAAATGTAAAATGAGAGTTTACTATTTTCAAGAGATCAGAAAGAAATTTTGAAGCAAAGATGGAACTAAAAATAAAAAGATGTCCCAGAGACAGGGTGCACAATGGACTGCTGTGGGCAGAGAGCACAGTGTCCGTTAAACTATGGGCAAAATCATTGACAAAGACAAATTTAAGAGCCAATGAAAAGCACTTTATTCGCTTGTAAATGGTGGGATCCTGGAGCCTTTACAGACTTGTGTTGAACCTAAATCTTGAGTCCAAGTGCCTCTTCAGGAATGTGATGCACACGGTCTGAGTAGGCCTAGCAGCAGCACCTTTCCAGAAGGGAGTGGATTTGCAGGTAAACAGATCAGTGGTGCCAGGATGGACTGTCCTGGTGACAGCCGTGGCCCTTCTCTTGCAGGAGCTGTGTGCGCAGGCTGACTGTCGCAAGCTTGTTCGTCCTTGTGGTGGTGTGCTCTGTGAGTACTGTAGCTCTGCATGGGCCCTCTGACTCACCTTCCTGTCTTCCTTTGGAGGAGATGCTGGGGAGCCTGTGGTACTGACCAGAGTGGAGGTGGAGACAGAGCCCCAGCACAGCTCCACCATGTCCTCACTTAGCCCTCACAGCCTCAGTCAGTCTTGTTCCATAGGATGCACCTGGATCTCTCCTTCCACTTACAGGGCTCACCAACTTTTTTTCCCCAACTACATACAATAACTACTCTTAATTTGCATTGTAACCCTTTCAGCATTGTAGGACCCCTTTGATGGAGTTCTAAACAGGCCAGCCTGCTTGGGAGGGAATAAAGTTACAGAAACCTACCCCAAGGCTCCTCCAGCTTCCTTGGTTCATCCATCCTCCTTCTTTTAGGACACAATGCATGCCCAACCAACTCATCCCAGAGTCAGATCAATCTGAGATGCCTACCCTTGGGACAGGGTGGAGGAGAGAGGGTTCCTACTAGTGGTCTGTCAACATCAGGGAGTGAGAGTGATGGCTTTCTTAGTTGGAAAATGGGTAGGGGCTGTGAAGGCTGCTCTATAGCGCTGAGGGTTAACTGAGCCTAGAGGCCAGGAAAGGCTGTGGACTGACAGGGAGCAGAGAGACCAGGGAGTGGGCCCTGAGTGTACCCTACTTTGACTGGACAGGGGCTCACCTAATAGTATTGTGTGCTCCATGGCTGATGTAGCCCTTGCTAGGGTCACATTACAGACATTCAAAGTGTATGTGTTGTATAGATGGGTTTGTGTGGTCTGATGGCATTACTATATGGGTGCTAAGGGCACAGAGCATACTGGATGACACTATCATAGGTGTTTATACCAAAATGACTGTCTATAAAATTTTCATGCAGTGTTTCAGCAGAAATTTATTACTTTTAATAAAAATATCCCTGTAGGTAATTATAACTACAAAAATATTATTTCCTAAGCTTAGCTTACATGTACCAGTACACCTATAAGGCTAACACTCTATACTAATTTACTTTTTGAACCTTCTAATGAGCTCTGGTGGTGTAGGGCCCAAGGCACTTGACTGCTAACCAGAAGGCTGGCGGTTCAAATCCACCAGCCACTCATCCGAAGGACAGTTGGACAATCTACTTCTGTAGTGATACTGCCTCGGCAACCCAAGGAGGGGTCGCTATGAGTCGGGTCCAACTCGACGGCACATAACAACAACAATGAGCTCTGGTGGTGTAGTGTCCACAGCGTATGACTACTAACCAGAGGGTGGTGGTTCAAACCCATCAGCCACTCCTTAGAAGGAAGATTGAGAAATCTACTTCTGCAGAGATACTGCCTCAGAAACCTAAGGAGCGGTGGCTATGAGTCTACTCAAGGGCAGTGAGCTTTTTTTTTTGGAATGTGCTCTGGTCAGAGCTGTTATATTATCCAATTAAATGATACTTCAAATCATATGTTTTCATCTGCATCTGCTATAAGAACCTAGTGTTATTTTGTTGCTGCTTGTGTTTTTATAGTCACTGATTTTGTCAATTTTCTGGTGTTTTAGCCACAACATTGTGGTAATTTGTGCATCTAAATTGATAACTTATTTTTTTTGGAATAAAGTAGTAATTAAAGGAAAAGGAGAAAAATAAAAAAATTCTGATCAGTTACTAATAATGTAACTAATAAGATTGTAATTCATTGTAGAAAGATTTTTAAAAATAATTCTGTTGTATTAATATAATCTAAGAAATATTACAGTTAAGTAGTTTGCAAAGATATTTATCACATACTTAATATATGTGACAAATGATTAAAATTGATGAGATATTTTCATAAAACCTGTGTTTTATTGACAATGCAAATGCTTTTGACAGTGTGGATCATAAGAAATTATGAAGATCATTGTGAAGAACGGGAATTCTTAATTGTACTTATGTAGAACCTGTACATAGACAAAGAAGTAGTTGTTCTAATGGAACAAGGGGATACTGCATGGTTAAAAATCAGGAAAAGTGTGTGTAAAGGTTGTATCCTTTCACTATAATTATTCAGTCTGTATACTGAGCAAATAATCTGAGAAGCTAGACAATACAAAGAAGAACATCACATCAGGACTAGAGGAAAGTTTAATTAACAACTTGTGATATGCAGATGACAAGACTTTGCTTGCTAAAAAGAAAAAAAGGACTTGACACATTTACTAATGAAGATCAAAAGTTACAGTCTTCAGTATGGATAACACCTCAGCATAAAGAAAATAAAAACCCTCATCACTGGACCAATAAGAAACATCATGATAAATGGAGAAAAGATTGAAATTGTCAGGGATTTCATTTTACTTGGTTGTCCCCAATCAACACCCATGGAAACATCAGTCAGGAATCAGACATTGTATAGCACTGGGAAAGTCTATTGCAAAGACCCCTTTAAAGAGCTAAAGAGGAAAGATGTCACTTCGAAGACTAAAGTGCACTTAACTCAAGGTATGGTATTTTCAATAACCTCATATACATGTGAAAGCTGGAGAGTAAATAAGGAAGACTGAAGAAAATGTATGCCTTTGAATTGTGGTATTGGTAAAGAATAATGAAAATACAATGGTCTGTCAGAAAAATGAACAAAACTGTCCCAGAGGAATGGCAGCCAGAAAGCTCCTTAGAAGCAAGAATGGTTGAACTCTTCTCATCTATTTTGTTCATGACCAGTACCTGGAGAAGAATATGCTTAGTAAAGCGAGGGTTAGTGAAAAAGGGGAAGACCCTCAAACCCTCAATGAGATGGATTGACACTGTGGCTGCAACAACGGCCTCGAGTATAGCAAGGATTGTTAGGATGGTGCATGACTGGTCAATGTTTTGTTCTGCTGTACATAGGGTCACTACCAGTTTGACCTCACTTCAGAGTGAGGACCATCAAAGTGGTGACCTCACCCCTTGGCCTAGTAGGCTGTGTTCCATGAGTTAATGCAATGGGTGACACCAACCCTAGTGACACCACTTGTATGGTCCCCTGTACCTGGCTTTGTGTGGGTGTGTGTGTGATGGACATTGTAGGACAATTTTGGTCTATGACTATGATGCATGAGCTTGGGGAGTTACTTCTGGATGTGTGCCATTTGTTATGATATGGTGGATGATGTTTTCTGTTTGGTGGATGATTGGCAGTGTTGTGGTATGACAGGGTGTGTAGTTTTAAGTGAGATGCCCAGACCTACATGGATGAGGTGGTGTTTCTGTGACTGCTATTGTGTCTGAGCTGTGGGCTTGTCTGGGTCCATGGTGAGTGTGATGTGGGGGTAGGTAGCTCTTATCTCTCTCTCTTTTGGTTCTCCAGTGCCGCTCTAACAGAAATACCACAAATGGGATGGCTTGGAAAAACAGGGATTTATTCTCTTACAGTTTGGGAAGCTAGAAGTCTGAGTTTGAAGTACCAGCTCTAGGGGCTGGATGAAGGCCCCTTGACTTTGGGCTTCACCTCTATCTCTTGCTCCTGGCCCACTGAAGCTGGAGGCATCTTTTAACTCAAGCAGCTGCTGGCTGCTGAGGCTAACAAACCCAAGGTTGACAAGTAAAATGGCACAGTCCAAAGATAAGCAACACAGCAGGGCACTAGTTCAAGTCCAGAAACAGTGCCAAAATCCACAGGCAACACAGCAGGCTGCTGAAGGAAGACTCAACTGTATATAGGGTCCAAGCATGCCAAAAAGCTCAAAACATTTTTCAAAGCATCAAAGTGGTGACCTCACCTCTTGGCCTGGTAGGCCATGTTCCTCTGCCCCTTGGGCATTGCAGCCCTGCCCCCTCAGTTTTGGGCAGTGGCTATGGCCCCATCGACTGGCCCTCATGAACTGCAACAGCACACTCTAGAACCTAGTTGGTGAAGATCTGACTCTTTGAAACTTAAGAAGCTGTGGTGGTTCTACTCACAGAGGCCATGGTCCTACTCTCTGAGGCTGAGGCAGCTCTGCTTCCCATTTCCTTGGTCTTTCAGCTTCTTCCAATTAATACCCGAGGGTGACCCACTCTGTCAGGAAGCTTTCTGTCCAAAGGCATTCATCTTTCTCTCTCCTCTGGCTGGCAAGCCTGTGACTCCTTCTCATACTGGTCTCTACCTATTAGTGCCTGAAGGCAAGCCACTCCTCCATGAAGCCATTTGCCCAAAGGCATCCATCTTTCTCCTCCATATGCTAGTAAGCCCATTGCTCTGTCTCATGCTGGTCTCTCAGTTCTGCTATGGCTGTATCTCTGCCAGTTTCTCTGCTGGTTTCTCTGCTGATCTCTCTTGCTGTTGTCTCAGCCAGTCATCTCAGCCAGTTGGCTCAGCTGGTCTCAGGACAGAAATCTTGGGTGCAAGGACACATTCCACTCCTGTCCACATTATAGGTATCTGTCAAAGCAACACCCCATTCTCATGGTACCAAATTCTATTTTGGTTATCTAGTGCCATTTTAACAGAAGTACCACAAGTGGATGATTTGAACAAACAGGTATTTATTCTCTTACAGTTTAGGAGGCTAAAAGTCTAAATTCAAAGTGCCAGCTCTAAGGGCTGGGTGAAGTCCCCTAGACCTTGGGCTTCAGCTCTGCCTCTTGCTCCCTGAACAGTGAAGCTGGAGGTGTCTCTTAACTCAGGCCAGTTCACACCTGGCCCATTGAGGGCTCACCTGACTTCTGTTTCTATTATTTACCCTTCTTCTGGAATATGAGTTTTGATTATTTGTGGACATTTCCTAATTAGAATGTGAGAATTTTGTTTTGAAATTCTACAGTCTATCATCTGTCATGTCAAACATGTCATGTCATCTGTCATACAGCACTTTAATTTCCTGTGGTACATAAGATGATTTGCAAATCCCACAGAGACATTGTACCAGCCAGATAGGCCATATTCCTTTATTCTTGAATAAGGAACATCATATTTACCACTGCTGACAACTTTATTTTGGTGGCTTTTATTCTTAAAATGAGCAAATATTGATAATCAAGGCCCATTGTAGCTGACAATAGCATAACAAATCAGAATTTTATTTTTCAATATATAAGAAAGGTTATTCATTATAATCTGATGAATTTTGTATAGATAAATGAACAGCATTTTAAGATCCCTATTTTTAACTATTGTCAATTATTTAAATCATATTCTTTTCATACTGCACATCTATAATTGAGTGTTTTTGATTGTTACAGATTTTATTTAGCCTGTATCCAGATCAAGGAAAATTCTGGCAGTTGTTGGCTGTGTCACCGTTGGAAAGCTACTGTATCCAGAATATACCTGAGCTGGTCATCATCATGACTGTGGTTCAAAAAGTCTGAACAACTAGACAATGTTGTTGAGGTCACAACCTGGTGATCACTGTTACTACCCTCACATTTTGTTATTCAGGATATTTGAGGACATGTGGTGGAGGGGAACTTGGAAACTGCTGGGATTTGGAGAGTGTTCCAGGGAAGAGATAAACAAGTGGTGCAAGGGCCTGGTGTTTTGGGGTGCCAGAGCACTAAGTTCTGTCTCTCTTTTCCCACTCATCTCCTTTTGAGGTTCAGTTTGGGTGCTACCAGTTTACCAATCTTCAGGCGCACTCATTCTTTCCTTCACTCTGTGGAAACTGCTGATTGAGCCCATCCAAGGCATCTTCATTCCTGTTACTGCATAAGTTCAATTCCAGACCAGGGTCGCTAGAGTCTATAGTCTCTCAAGAGTTTCACCAGGCTCTCATCAGACCAGCAAACATGGTCTTTTTTTTTTTTCCTTCATGATTTTGAGTTTTTTTCCATATTGTTCTCCCACTCTATCCAGGATCTCCTGCACTGATCCCCTTCCAAGTGGCTGACAATGATAGACAGGCACCATCTAGTTCCTCTGGTCTCATGGTCATATAGACTGGAGATTGCATGGCCTACCAGTCTCTTGGACTAATTTTTTCTATGTTCTTTTGTTTTTTTTCATTCTTCTTTGCTCTGGAAGAATGAAGAGAGACCCATTGTTGCATCTAGATGGCTGCTTGCAAGCTTCTAAGATTCCAGTCACTACCCACCAAAGTAGGATGTAGAACAATGTTTTTGTGTTGTATGTTATGCCAGTTGAGCTTTGATGTTCCCTGTGACCATGGTCCCAAACCCACAGGTCCAACTACTCACTCCCTCCAGGTAGTTGTCTGTGACCAAGAGGCCACCACAACTTTGCTCCTTGTCAGCTCTACTATACATCTGTATATTCTTACAGCACATGCAAATATGTATGTAGAAACATTGTCTGCTAACCCTATATATGGTCATGGGCACACTACCCCCTGCCTAGACATACCTGATCATTCTTTTTGTCCACCCATCACTTGACAATGCAGTACTGTACATGCAAGAGTTCATCTTTGTTGTCTGTACCTCCCATGTACCTCTTTATGTCTTCTCCTCCTCAATTCCACCAGGTCTATCACTTACATTTGGTATATTGCCCTTCTCTTCACCCAAATCAATACTTGTCTCTACCTATCTAACAATGTTCCCTATCCTCCCCTCTCACCCCTGGTAACGAACAAAGAAAATTTCCTTCCATATACAAACCTTTCTTGACTTTTTACAATAATGGACTAATACAATATTTGTCCTTCTATGATTGACTTATTTCACTCAGGATAATGTTCTCCAAGTTTACCCACATTATCAGTGTTTTGCAGATTCTACATTATTCTTTAGTGTTGCCTAGTGTTCCATTATGTGTATGTACCATAGTTTGGTTACCCATTTTTCACATGATGGACACCTAGGTTTTATCCATCTTTTGGCTATTGTAAATAGTGCTGCAACGAACATGGGTGTGCATATGTCTGTTCTTGTCATGGCTCTCACTTCTTTAGGATATATACTTAACTAATGGAATGACTGGTCAAATGATATTTCTAATTGCAACTTTTGAAGGAATTGCCATACTGCTTTCCACAGTGGTTGTACAGTTTTACAGTCCCACCAGCAGTGTATGAGAGTCCCAATCGCTCCACATTCTCGCCAGTGTTTGTTATTTTCTGTCTTGTTGAACTTTACTACTAGTACTGGGACGAGATGATATCTCGTTGTTGTTTTGATTTGCATCTCTCTAATGGCTAATGAAGGAGCTCTGGTAGCGTCGTGCCTAAGGCACTTGACTGCTAACCAGAAGGCTGGTGGTTCAAACCCACTAGTTACTTCTCGGAAGGACAGTTGGACAATCTACTTCCATAGTGATACTGCCTCAGAAACCCAAGGAGGGGTCAATATGAGTCAGGTCTGACTCCATGGCACAAAACAACAACAATTGCTCATTAGCAATAGTGAACATTTCTTCATGTGTTTGTTGGCCGCTTGAATATCCTCTTTAGTGAAGTGTCTATTCATGTCTTTTTGTCATTTTTTAATTGTATTGTTTGTTTTTTTTGTTGTTGAGTGTTGGAATTTTCTATAACTTTTAGAGATAAGTCCCTTGTCAGATATGTTGCTGCTGAATGTTTTTTCCTGATCTGTAGGTTTTCTCTACTCTTTTGGAGAAGTCTTTGGAAGCACATAAAAATTTAAATTTTAGACCTTCCCATTCATTTACTTTATCTTCTGCTGTTTGCATATCTTATAGGTTATGCTTGACAGTCTATTTATGCCATAAATTAGGGCCCCTAAATTTGCCCCTATTTTTTCCTTGAGGAACTCCATAGTTTTAGGTTTCACATTTACGTCTTTGACCTATCTGGAATTAGTATTTGTGCATGTTGTGAAATACGGATGTTGTTCATTTTTCTGCAAGTGGATATCCAGTTTTGCCAGCACTATTTGTTAAAGAGACAATCTCTTCCCCTTTTAATGGATTTCAGCACTTTGTCAAAAATCAACTGACTAGAGGTCAATGGATATATTTCTAGGTTCTCAATTCTATTGCACTGGTCTATGTGTCTGTCATACCAATACCAGGCTGTTTTGAGTACTATGGCTGCATAGTAGGTTTTGAGATCTGGGAGTGTGAGATCTCCTACTTTGTTCTTTTTCTTCAATAGTGCTTTGTTTATTCAAGGTCTCCTTCCTTTCCATATGAAATTAGTTATTGGTTTCTCCATATCCTTAAAGAATGTCAGTGGGATCTGGATTGGGATGGCATTGAATGTTTAGAGTGCTCTGTGTAGTACTGATATTTTCACAATGTTCAATCTTCCTATCCATGAGCATGGTATATCCTTCCATTTATTTAGATCTCTTATGGTTTCTTGAAGTAGTGTTTTGTAGTTTGCTTTGTATAGGTCTTTTGTGTCTCTGGTAAGATTTATTCCCAAGTATTTTATTTTATTGGTTGTTATGTTGTTGTTATGTGCCATCGAGTCGGCCCCGACTCATAGTGACCCCTCCTTGGGTTTCCAAGGCAGTATCACTACGGAAGTAGGATTGCCCAACCTTCCTTCCGAGGAGTGGCTGGTGGGTTTGAACCGCCAGCCGTCTGGTTAGCAGGCAAGTGTCTTAGCCACTATTTATTGGTAGCTATTGTAAATGGTATTGATATCCTTATTTCCTTTTCAGGAATCTCTTTGCTGATGTACAGAAATCCTACTGATTTTTGTATGTTGATGTTATATCCTGCTGTTATGCTAAATCTCTCAATTAGTTCAGTAGTTTTCCTGCTGAGTCTCTTGGGCTTTCTATGTGTAGGATCATATCATCAGCAAAATAGGGATAGTTTTATTTCTTCCTTAAAATTGGATGCCTTTGGTTTCCCTTTCTTGTCTTATTGCCCTGGCTAAGACTTCCAATACAATGTTGAATAGAAGTGATGACAAAGGGAATCCTTGTCTGGTTCCTGTTTTCAAGGAGAATGGTTTCAGTTTCTCTCCAGTGACTAATTTTGCATATATTCCCTTTATTATGTTGAGGAATTTCCCTTCTATTTCTATTTTGCTGACAGGTTTTAAAATCAGGAATAAGTGCTGGATTTTATCAAATGCCTTTTCTGCATTGATTGACATGATCATGTGGTTAATTTTCTTTATTTTACTTATGTGTTGGATTTTGTTGGTCATTTTTCTAATGTTGAACCATCCTTGCATACCTGCTATGAATCCCACTTGGTCACAACGTATTATATTTTGGATATGTTGTCAGAGTATATTGGTTAGGATTTTGTTGAAGATTTTTAAATCTATATTCATGAAAGATACTGGTCTGTAGTTTTCCTTTTTAGCAATGTCTTTGCCTGGTTTTGGAATCAAGACGATGTTTGCTTCATAAAATGAGCTTGTGAGGATTTCATCCATTTCTATGTTCTGGAATAGTTTGAGTAGGATTGGTGTCAGTTCTTCTCTGAATATTTGGTAGAATTCTCCAGTGAAATATCTGAGCCAGGACTTTTTTTTGTTGGTATTTTATTATTATTATTATTTTTTATGCCCTGTTCAATTTCTTTTTTTGTTATGGGCCTATTCAAATTTTCCACTTCAGTCTGTGTTAGTTTAGGTAAGTAGTATATTATTAAAAATATGTGCCTTTTTTCTAGATTTTCAAGTTTGTTGAAGTACAGTTCTTTGTAATATCCTTATATTATACTTCTTATTTCAGTTGGTTCTGTTGTGATGTCACCCATTTTGTTTCTTAGTCATGTTATTTTTATTCTCTCCCTCTTTTCCTTTGTTAAATTTGCCAGTGGTTTGTCAATTTTATAAATATTTTTGAAAACCCAACTTCTAGTCTTGTAGATATTTTCTATCATCTTTCTATTTTCTGTTTTATTGATTTCCACTCAAACTTTTATTTCTTTTCTTCTGGTGATTATAGGCTTTTTTTGCTCCTCTTTTTCTAATTGTTAGGGATGTTGGTTTAAGGTGTTGATTTTGGCTCTTTCTTCTTTTTTGAAGTGTGCATTTATTGTTATAAATTGGCCTCTGATCACTGCTGTTGCTGTGTCCCAAAGATTTTGGTAAGCTGTGTTTTCATTCTCATTTGAGTCAAGTAATTTTTTAAGTTCATTTTTTATTTCTTCTATTACCCAGTCTTTTTTAAGGAGGGTGTTAGTCAGTTTCACTTGTTTGGTCTTTTTTGATCAAAAAGCAAAGATTGATCTTCCTATTGTTGATTTCTAATTTTATAGCATTATGATCTGAGAAGATGCTTTACAGTATTTCAGTGTTTTTAAATTTTTTAAGTCTTGCTTTGTGGCCTAACATATCATCTATGTTAGACCATATGGAGAATGTTCCATGTGCACTGGAAAAGAATGTATATTGTGCTGTTGTTGGGTGAAGTGCTCTGTAGATG